TTAACATTAGGTCTATGGGAAAAAGTTGTTCTGGAGTTGTATTTTTATAACTACCAAAATATAGTATAAAAAGGTCAAAATTGGGCTATTTTTGTCCAAATATTGTGTCAAATTTTTTAAGTATATTGTTCGTTACGAAAGACTATTTACTCAATGACACCCGCAGTGACATCGGTTTTATGGACGACTCCGGGTTTCTCTATATCAATGGCCGCATCAAAGAGATGATCATTAGAGGCGGTGAAAACATATACCCCAAAGAGATCGAGGACTTCCTGATGACCCACCCGTCCGTCGCCGACGCACAGGTATGTTCTGCTAAAGTGTATTATAATTATATGTTTATAATACTTTGTTATCTGTTTAATCAATAGGTGGTGGGAATACCGGATAAACGTCTCGGTGAAGAGATGGTCGCCTACATTAAGCTTAAAACGGACGGCGCGTTAGACACCGGAGCCGTTCAAAAATACTGCAAAGGAAAGGTATGTTAATCAGCGCTAAAGCTATTAGTATATAAACTAACATTTGAATTAAATTAACCCATAGATCAGTCACTTTAAAATCCCGGAGCGCGTAGTGTTTGTGACCGACTTTCCCCGCACTGTCACCGGGAAAGTGCAAAAGTTTAAGCTTAAAGAGTTGGCCGCTAAACAATATGCGCATAATTAGTTTTATCAATAATTTAGTAAATATAAAAATTTTACATTTAATTAGTATTTCAGGCAATAAGTTTTTATTTTATAACTATACATGTACATAACATGTTACCAATACCAATTTGCATCTACTGTAGAATTAAATGTATTTTACAAATAATTTTATTTTAGCATCATCATTAATAATTTGATAATTAATAATTAATTAATAAATAATAATTGTATAATGAATAATTATACATAATATGTTTTTAATGACTACATGTATTTGTATTTGTATGTTATTGCTATATTTTTTTATTTACCTATGTAATGTAATTATTATGCTATGTTTGACATTTAACAACATTGATTTAATATTTTGCATGATTTAATATTTTATTTCCGTTTTAATAAATTAGTTTAAAGTAATAATTCAATATAATATGAGGTAAAGTATATTACAAATACATTTTTGTTTCCGATTTATTATACACAAATAAATTGCAAAAAAATTATTAAATTATAAATAAATAAGTCTATTATTAAGTATTATTAAGTTATCTAGTCATTCAACAAAACTCCGCCACTCTGTTTTTCTTATTACTCCTAAACGAAATGAGCTAGATCAAATCTGTAAAGTGCATAATGATGG